TATATATATATATATATATATATGTGTGTGTGTGTGTGTGTGTGTGTATGTGTGTGTATATATATATATGTGTGTGTGTGTGTGTGTGTACGTATGTATAAACACACACACACACACACCTGATCCCAATCTAATGTTGGGCTGTTGGGTGGTTGAGGAACGTGGCGTCCTTTTCATGGGCTGAGTTGGCAAACCTCTCCGTTGTACCTCACAAACCACGATCAACAATTCAGCGTAAGCCCCCCCTCCCCCAGAGCCCACCGCTGACTCAACAAACTACGAACGACAGAAAACCCGGTTTAGAGGGCCTTTCTCACCGGATGCTGGCCAAGACTTCGTCTCTCGGCCTCCCGAGCATCGGGGAAAAGACTTAAGATCCCTTGGAGGCAGGATGGCACGAAACCCACCGAGCCAAAATGAGGTCCCCTAGATGTGTGTGTGTGTGTGTGTGTGTGTGTCAGCAAACAAACCCTCTTTCCTTCCAGTTTTGGGAATCTGGGGTCGATTGCCGGCCATCGATTTTGCTAAAAAGCAGCCTCGGGAAGAAACCAGCTTCGGCCAGGACTCTTCCAGATCGATTAGGCGCAGAGCCAGAACGCGCTTGGCCTCGTGCCACCGATGCCCGCCCTGCAGGAAGGGAATTCTTTGCCCGCCCTGGGCGCAGCTGTGACAACTCCAACCGCCTCTCCGCCACCCACACGAGGGGATTCCTGCCAAACCAACCTTCCTTGTGTGCCTGTGTGTTGTTTTAACACAATAGCGCTGACCCACAAGGGTAGGAAAAAGAGATGGAGAGGAGGGGCTGGACATAATTCAAGATTATTAATAGCTTGGGGGTTTACTTTTTTCATCCCTAATCATAAAGCAGGCGGCTTGAGCAGGGATTGGCAACTTTGAGGAGGCTGGCAGGGGGATTCTGGGAGTTGAAGTCCACCCGTCTTAAACATGCTGGCTGGGGGGTTCTGGGAGTTGAAGTCCAGCCATCTTAAAGCAGGCTGGCTGGGGAATTCTGGGAGTTGAAGTCCAGCCATCTTAAAGCAGGCTGGCTGGGGAATTCTGGGAGTTGAAGTCCAGCCGTCTTAAAGCAGGCTGGCTGGGGGATTCTGGGAGTTGAAGTCCAGCCGTCTTAAAGCAGGCTGGCAGGGGGATTCTGGGAGTTGAAGTCCAGCCGTCTTAAAGCAGGCTGGCAGGGGGATTCTGGGAGTTGAAGTCCAGCCATCTTAAAGCAGGCTGGCAGGGGGATTCTGGGAGTTGAAGTCCAGCCATCTTAAAGCAGGCTGGCAGGGGGATTCTGGGAGTTGAAGTCCAGCCATCTTCAAATAGACTGACTGAGGAATTCTGGGAGTTGAAGTCCACCCCTCTTAAAGCTGCCAAGGTTAAGACAGGCTGGCTTAGAGATCAATTTAATAATTCGCCCTCAAGCCCAGAAAGATTTTCTCCTAGTTCCAGCTGCTTTACAAGAGAGGAAAAAAAATAAAATAAATCAAGGGGCATCTTTATCCACACAAAAACCTCTGAGTCCACCGGCGAACGCTGCTCACCCGAAGACCGAATTGTGGTTGGGTGAATAAACCATCATTGGGAGATTGCATTTACAAAATGGATGGGAGGGTTACACTGCAGCCAGCCGGGAACTTCCGGCCTCCCCATCTTCTGTGCCAGGCCGGCGAAAGGAATTATTTGTTTAAACTCCCAGAGATGGGAAGCCGAGA